CCTGGACAGCAAAGCTCTGCAGAGGGTGGTACGTTCAGCTGAACGCATCAGCAAGGCTGAGCTGCCTCAAGCGATGCATTAGCAGAGCTGCCAAAATCAGCAGGGACACATCCCTCCCAAACAACTACCTCTTTACCAGGCTGATGTATGGAAAGTGCTTCTGGTGTCTCTCAGTGAGACCTGAGAGCCTTGGAAGGAGCTTCTACCTTCAATGCATCAACCTACTTAACAGCTGCAATTAAACATTTGCTCCTTGCATGCACCATGCATTTTAATGGAGCAACGTTGCACATATCTAGTTTTCCGTTGCTGTTCCTTATCTGTTATATATTTATTTACTGGTACATTAGGTCTTATTTCTTTTCACTAGTTCTTATTATGGCAGAGTCGACCACCTTGCATTTCAATGCAGGCCATAGCTGGACTGTATATCTTGCATGTGACAAATAAAAAGCCTTGAATCCTTGACACTCTAATTCTCAAATGTGTCACCTTCAACAAAAGTACTAAATGTAACTATTAACAAAGTAGCACAAGCTGTAGATTTCTCAAAAATAGAAATACATTGAGAATTTTAACTGAAATTAAATTAGCATTCATAGATTTCTGACCTCAAACAATATAAATTTATCTTTCAGTGTTCATAAGCTCCAAAATTCTAAAATATGGAAAATAGCAAAAACTTTCATAAAACTTTGTCACTTTTCTCCAGAAGGACATTTTCACAGATGATTTCAAATTAAAGCCTTACGTGATTCGCACAGAAAAAGACCTGAAAAGAATGTAGATAGAGAGTTATTAGTACTGTGCTGTCGCTGTTGTTTCCTACCACTTGTAACAAAATTGAGAAAAAAAATATATACTCTCTCTCTCTCTCTCACACACACACACACACACACACACACATTTGTATCCATATCTTTGTGGGAACCATGCAATCATTTCTATGGGAAAAATCCTAATCCCAGCAATGAGATCCTTAACCCTTACCCAGCCCTAAACTTAACCATATGTAAAGAAAACTTGACATTTTTAGGTTTTTGATTGCAGTCTCAGATTTTTATAAAATTGAGTTTCCCTTGTAGGGACTGAACACACAGTCCACATACTGTCAAAATAACAGGTTTTTATCACACTGTGGGGACATTTCACACACATCTACACTCACATTTATTTAAAAGTGTGATAACAATTGTGTAAAAAATGAAGACATACCGTGATTCACGTCTCCTTATTGAAGATCCATCAAGCAATCTGAAAGGTAATAAAACATATGTACTGGAATATTAAATGAAACCTAAGACATGAGGAAGGCATGGATGTTACACAGCTGCGTGCAGTCAGGTGACGGGCACTTTACTGACTTTACCTCTATTTTATTATTAATGATGTAATACTGGGTCCTCCACCCCAGAACACACACAGACCTCAAATCATTTCTAGTCCTTTAAAGACACTGAAACCCCTAATTTGTTTCTAGTCTGGATGTCATTGTCGGTGTCTTGTAGTTGTTTTGTAATCTCCATCACCACTCCCATTAAAATATTCCATATATCCGGTAAATTCAAGTTACAAATTTCAATTCCTTAAAGGTAACTTCAGTGCAGTTCATGTAATTAAGGATGATTTACAGAAAATGATAAAGCCTCACCCAACTTGATCTTGACAAGAATCTGGTGTGCTGAAAAGGAGTCCATTAATGGTCATATTATTGCATCTTCCCTATGATATTTGAGTACTCATTACAAAGAAATCCTGAAAGTATCAAATCAATACATATTTTGAAACATTTCCTAATATCCATTGATAATTGTGGAAAAAAATGAACCTATGGCTTTTGTCTTTTTATAGAATTGAAAAAAGCTTTCTATAGAATAGAAAAGAGCATGAATGGGGGGGAAACGTGGTTTAGATTATATGATATACAAACATTGCTATGCATTTACAATGGATGAAGCAATATCATATTGAGAGACATCTGCTTATTTCATACAGCAAATTTTTTGCATATTACAGTAGGTTATATAAGGACAATTAATGTAGCCAAACAGCTCACAGTCTTCATTTAATGGAGAAGACTTTCCTGTGCTGCTAATGGAAGAAGATAGATAACATACTGTCCATCTATGTTATAAACATTTTTAGAATAATAAATCAATATGAACAAGCAAATTCCTGAGCAAACAGTTCAAAGCTGATGTTCTGTGATCCCAAGCAGTGGAACATACTTGTGCCCTTGCAATGTTGACCCACCAGAAGCACTTTTTCTCCTGTAAAGAGAACAAAACATTTGAAACACAAACCTACAAATGCAGGGATACATGATAACATGAATTGGACTGAAAAAGTGACAATTCTCTTGAAATGACTCCCTCAATTGTACAGTATACCCGTTTTTAACCAGACAGAGGTAACAGGAATTATCCCTGACAATACTAAAGGCCTGTTCATATCTACCTGCTGCATATTTTCCTTTGTAGATAGAAACCGAGTCCCATCACACAAAGGATTCCCAGGACACCTGAGGAGAAATATGACCAAGTATAAAAACCATGTGAAAAACATATTTGATAAATACAGAATTGCCATTCAGCGTTAAGTATATGGTATGACTGTGCTTACCAGAGACCACAAACCAGATGTCTGCACATGCTTTATTTGATAGCATTTCATCTTTAAAAAAAGAGTTACATTATAAGCCTTAAAGATGAAACATGAGGCATTGATTCAAAAGGTCAACGGTTGTCTCACCATTTGGTATTGTTACGAAGTTTTCGTTCCTTTTTCCATATTGATTCAGTGCTGCACATTTGATTTGTGTTGTTTTTGCAAAATGTCTAGAGGTTACGTGAGCTGTAGCGGTTTTATTAACAGTTATAGTTCCATTTTGATTATATGTTGTGGAATGTTCCAGAGCAGTATCTTCAATGTCCCAGGACAACTCTGGTGCAGGTCTTCCGGTGGCAGAGCAGGTAAGCAATAACTTACTCTCACCACTGACAGGTTTCACTACAAATATAGGCTTGTGTAGTTCTGAAAGAGAAGAGTCTCTTGTTATTTGTTTTTTAACAACTCAAAATGTTACCTGTTTCCACTTCAATTTTAGAAATAACAAGAAAATTACTGGTGTCTTTTTTTGAATGTACGGGTAAATGTGACTTTACCATAGATTTTGAGGCAGGTCCTCCCACTGATGTCTCCATCAGGAATGAGATTAAACAGACACTTGTAACACGATTCATCACTCCACTGGACTCTCCTAATCACTATGGAACACTGCTGCAGCCCTATTTCTAAGAAATTGACATTTTTTCGGAAGGGCCAAGTGACAGTCGCACCAAAACGTTCACTGTATATTGCCATGTTTTCACTCTTCTGCTCCGACACTCTCTGCCAGGTCACTTGTTTCACATTTCTCTGTTTTGTAAGCTCACATTTCAAATTAACATCTTCACCAAGGGAAGCCATCACAAGCTGCTGTGTTCTCACTAACTCTGCGAAACCTAAAGCAGAAGTGGAAAAGACCGTCAAAGTATGATCACATGAAACCATATGAGCATGTGCAGTAGCTGGATAAATGACTGCTAGGAGCAGGCAGGTTAATTTACAATGTACACAGATGCAGGGGAAGATGGTTATAAATAGGGCAGCTGCCAACTGTAAATGTTACAGCGTAGTAGCTCAAAGGCAATTTCAGTTTTTGCAGCACTTCTCCTTGTCTTTCTTACTCCTTAAAGTTACAGTTAAGACGCTACAGTCAGCTGCCGACATTAAGAGGGCTACAGCCCCCCTCCCCTCCTACAAACATACACACACCACCACCGTCCGCCCCCAGGAATTTACCCCGCAACAATAAACACAACATTTTTATATATCATACAAGTAGAGTATTGTATTCTATTAAAAAGTTTTAAATGACCATTTTACCCTTTTTATTCACAGAATGATTTGCAGACGTTGCCGAAGTGATATTTAAACTATTGATACATTTTTAAAATGACAGATTACTTACCATGAGAAATCCAAATGAGTGAAAGCATGAAATTCATGAAAGTAAACATAAAATACATATACTATTATTATTTATTAATAATAATAACATGAATTTTTCTTTTTCGCAGAAGACAAAATGAACGTCTTTTTTTGGTAGGAAGTCGTTCTCATTGGTTTGAGGGGCAAGTTGAAAGTAAAACCAGTTGATGTGTACCGTGCCTTTAATTTGTAGCTGTCCAGACACTGATTAAACGAGTTTGTCTGATGGAGCAACATCATGTGACGAGTGTCATGTGACCAGATCTGTTTCCTTCCTCCTTTCACTTCAGGAGGACGATGTCTGCCTTTTGCCTTTAATAAAAGGAAGTAAGTAAAATACATTATACTACAGATACAGACATCCCACCTCTCCCGGGACGCAGCATATTACAATACGGGATCATCAGACAATACACTGCAAAATTGAGACATTACACTGCATATATACGGTATATTCCTGATTATTTTTCCGACCACGTGTGGCAGTATTACCGTAATACCTCCCAAGCCTAGCCAACACCTCTCGCCCTCTATTGGTTGTCCCTCATCCACCTCACTGAAATCAGTTTGCATAAGGTGGGATGTCTGCAGATATCACTACAATATTTCACATATATATTATCCTTTAAAATATTTACTTCAGATGTTTTTTGACATTTTACTGCTATATGTATGTCATGCTCACAAGAGATGAATATTTGTAAGTAGCAATGATTGTAACCAGTAGCATAGCACAGTGCCTGTAAATGCATATTCATATATAGTTATCATTTGACTTCTTTTACATAGTTTGCATAATTTGTTGCAATTGTCAGACATTGTAGACCAAGGTGACCCACCAGAGGCTGTGTCATTATAACTGTCCCAGAAAAAGAAGTCACTGAAAATGACTGTGAGAGCGATGGCTCAGATATGGAGTACAGGGTGAAACTAGCTAGATTACTAAATGAATGTGCAGAACCCAATACCCTTAAAAATGATGATGACAATCATTTTGGTGAAAACCTCATAATGTGCTTCCTCTCCACTTCTACAGCAGAGGAGGCAGGCAAAGTCTCTGGACAAATGTCATGACGAGAGAGACGCCTCTTACAGGGAACACTTCTTTTGTTACATCCGACATTCACGATACAAGCAAAGAGCGGCGAACGCTATTCTGCTGGCTACCCAAGCACACACCCGTACCAAAACGGCGGAGCCAAATCGAATGCAGGCAACATTAATCGGTATAACTACAGTAGATAACAGGCATCACTACATCTCCCTTTTCTTAAGGAAACAATAAAATGTTTATTTTATTTATTTATTTATTTTCCTCTTCAGCCTGCTTGGATGGCCCAGCTATATAGCACGAAGCAACTTGGCCCTTTTATTATTATTATCATTATTATTATTATTATTATTGGTTTATTAACTTTAATTAACCGTTAAATAATTAATTAACTCAAACATTTCAATTTGAACGTTTCAACTAGGACATTGGAGTAGACTGCCCTCTGTCCACAGCAACATAGGGATTATTCTGCCCTCAAACAGTCGCTGTTCCTATAACAAGTCTCTCTCCATTCTCTTCACAAAGGAGTCTAAGTGTCTTTAAACCTGAGAGGGGTTCTTCTCACTGCTCTAGGAGTCCCAGGTGGTTCTGCAGACACTGGCATAGTGCCTGTAGTCAACTGGGTCTCAGGCTGAACCTGTGGACTGGCCTCTCTAGTTGATTCTAGTGTATCTCCACCATGTAGTTTGACCCTTACGCAGATGTGGCAGAGCTCGTGCACAATGTCGGCGGATATAAAAGAACCGGTAGGCCTCTTTAGCTCTGTTGTCCCTCTGAAACATCTGTACGTAGCTGAAATGCTTAGGCTGTCGCTTCTCATCCAATGTAAGGAGTGTTGTTCTGATCTGATGTCCAGTCATAGGCTGTGCTGGACTCACTTCTGTTGCACTAATGGGGGTTGCACGATAACACATCAGAGCAAGATGAGGATCTGGTTCCTTGAGGATATGCTTGGCAGTTTGCACGGCCTGCTCAGCGGCCCCGTTCGCCTGGGGATAATGTGGACTTGAGGTGGTATGAGTAAAGCCGTATTGCTGCCTGAAGTCCTGAAATTTGGCATATGAAAACTGCATGGCATTGTCGCTTACCATCTCTAGGGGAATGCCCCATCTTACAAACATGGACTTTAGTTGTGCGATGACCTGTTGGCTTGTGGTGGAGGGCAGGTGTGCTATTTCAATATCTCGGGAATAATAGTCCACTACAATAAGCTATTTTCTGCCCTCTAGCTTGCACAGGTCAGCTATGACCTTCTTCCATGGACCTTTAGGGGGTGAGGTTGATTTGAGAGGCTCTCTTTTCTGTGTTGGTTTATGCTCGGCACAGAACATGCATGTGTTAACTATCTTGCCAATATCTGTACTTATGGCTGACCACCAGACTGACATTCTGGCTCTTTCCCTGCACTTTGTCAACCCCTGGTGACCCTTGTGTATCTGCTGCAACATTTCTGATCTGTGCGTGGCTGGGACAACGATCCTGTCTTGGTACAATACGAGGTGGAGTCCTGCACCGGGTCAGATACCCGCAGATAGTTGCTGAAACGGGCGGATTTTAATTGGAATTTTACAGGTGGGTAATTCATTACACATGGGCGAGTAGCAGGTCAATCAAAACAGTATTGTAGCCTGCAAAAATAACATATAAGCAAAAATATCTATGTATTAGACTATCATGAACAAATTGTCATCATCACTGTGTTCAGTATGTCGGGGGGACCTTATGGTGCTTTCAATTACTTCTCTCCAAGTCGGCGCTCGGATGAAAACATCACAAAACGTCACGAAAAACATTCAATTCAATTAAATTCAATTCAATTTTATTTGTATAGCGCATTATCACAACATTACATTGTCTCAATGCGCTTTACATTTCTGCCTCGTAAGGACCCCCCATTGAGTAAGCCAAAGGCAACGGTGGNGTTTGATGAGCATTAATCACCACTCTCAGTCACAACTGAGTGGGACAAGAATATAATATTACATTTACTTTTATCCAAAGGTATGCACATTTTTTGTGAAGCAGGGTCAGACGGTCTCTGGAGGAACTGGGGGTTAAGGACCTTGCTCAAGGGCCCAGTGGTGAGCCACACACTGCTCTCAATTTGTAATATTAATTATAGAAAAAGCTGGGAAGAATGTCAGCACGATGCCTGCAACTACACTGATGTCTCCTGTGGCACTTAAGGAGGTAGACAGGTTCACAAAGAGAAGGGGTCAGATAGGAGGTGAGAGTCCATTCAGGAGTCATCCTCCATCATTTGCAGCTGGCTTGCCCTCTTCCTCCCTCATAAGCTTCTTCCCAGCATGGGCTTTAAAACTATGGTAAAGGAAGACTGTCCCACCCCCTGGGGCAGCTGCTACTGGCACAGAGAAGATTCATGGTAAGCCATTGTGTTGCGCTATATTGTTCAGGCTGCAATGTCCAACTCGTGCCCCAAGATGAGAATAATCCCAAACCCTGGTGAGAGCATCTGAATAAGGGATGAACTGATTATTGGCTCCATTGATTATCAGAACTGTGATACAGGCCCCTGATGATCATGATCTAGGGCTAAAACATGGGCTCTATAAGACTCTTGCACAACCACCTGATATACTATATTCCATTTACCAGCTGATGCGGATAAAGTCCACTTCCTCATCAATATCCTAACTGTTATCTAGGAAGCTTCTACAAACACTGGACTTATCGATCACAGCTTTTAAACAGACCGACCAGGTAGGATCTTTCCCCTGGGCCTTACGAAGTGATTCTTTCGACAGGCACAGCAGTATTCCCGATCACTTTGTGGTCCGTGACTAATTTTGGATCAGACTCCCCACCAACAAACTCAGGAGCAATGGATCCATCCCCATCATCAATATCGGTATCACACAAGAAGGTATCTGACAAATCAATATCTTTAAGCTGATGGGCTTGGGCATGGGTTAACGTGCAAATAGGGAATATGGCAGGATCATCCACCCCTACACAATTTTTACTTTTAATTATTCAATTCAACTCAATTCAAGCACTTTATTATCATTAACACAACAAAATTACTTTTATGACATTAGTATGGATGACATATGCAATTTTAAATCTTCAAAGAGATTTCTAACCACAACATAATAACAAAAACAAGTATTATTTCTTCAGTGTACAGAAACACAAATTATTCACATATTGCACAAACAGTAATAAGTTAGATGAAGTTATTTTAAAATATTAAAGAAAACAAATAATCAGTAAGTCAATGAGTAAGACAATAAACAAGTCACCGGTAATGAAATACACAAAAAGTAAAATACCCATAAAAATATAAAATATACATACTGGTATTGCAGTAGAATGTGCAGTATTAAAAAAACAGAGGCTGGTCCAATAAACATAAATTGTCAAAATATACATATACATAATGTGCAGCATAAAGTGACTGGTGGTATTTCAGGTAAGTAAAAGGTATGTATAACTTCAAATAAAGTACAGAATGCAGCATGCTTTGTGGCCATTGTCATGATATTTGGGGTAGGGACTAGACTTGTAGTCAAGACCGCCTAAACCAAGACCAAGACACTACCAAGACCAGAGGGTATCGAGAAAAAGACTAAGACCAAGACAGACCGATTCAAGACCAAGACAAAGTCGAGAAAAGACCGAAACCGAAAAAAAAGACTCCCTTAACGTTTGTGTGCTGTTGAGGACTGACATGACGGGTACTGACTGGTCCCAAAGTCATCTGACAAAACAG